CCCCCCCCCCAAGCTGGTTTTCCTTCCAGGAGCAGAACAACCAGCAGAGAGTGCAGTAAAGGTCAGGGTAAATTAAAAAATGCTGGAAAATAAGACTATAACTAATAGCTGAATTTTTCAAGCACAACTTGAAAAAAAATTTTCTGGGTAACTTGGAAAAAATTTCGTGGAAAAACTTTTTGGAAAAAAAATTTTTTTTATTTATAAGACCTATATTTTGAATTTATCTCTGAATGAATCAATGATAATTCAAAACACAAACAAAATACTCAGAAATTTACAAAAAAAAAAAAAACATACCGGGACTATCTGTTCATCGGAATACGATTTAATGAGCAATTCCATATCATCAAACGCCAAATCCTCAGGGTTTAGTTCAACTGAAGCAGAAATCATGAATTTCGTAGCACTGGCTGCAAGCGGGACATCCTGGGGTATCCTTAGTTCATAGAATGGCTTGTCAAATTTGTGACAAGCGTCCAGTGTAACTTTGTAGAGACCAGCAAGTGGGATGCAAAATGAAAATTGCCCAGCCGGTACATATAACGAATCACTGACTTCCGGCTTTTCCATCATACTCCATTTCTGTAACATAACTTGTACAGGCTATTCCATTGACTACGAAGTAGTAAAAATAGATGAAATGGTCATAAATATCATGTACCGGAGGACATTTTGTGATGAAGTTAGTCAGTGTTTCATCCCTTAGCTGTAAACATAGGCCGGACAATGTATGCAAGAAGGAGTGGGAATCATCAGTACAGTCCCCTACCCGCTATGTTCTGAACAGTCATGTGACTAATTTGCAAGAGAGATATGGATTGTTTTAAACTTATTTTTAATTCAAAGAAAAAAAAACCATTTTGGCCGGATTTGATAGACTGGTGACAGTGCGATAGCCTGTTTGACGAAATATCAAATTATTCACGCTGGTACGCTCAATAACAATGTCAATCTCGGATTTCTCCCAGCAAAATCGGCCACTGTCAACCAATTTCACTGCAAAAAAATACTGCAACAAAATACTGTAAAATTACTGTAAATTACTGTAATTTACTGTAAATTTAAGATATGCAGTGAACATTTTTAGCAAAATACGTATGAGTACACGCCATCAATTCTTTTCCATACTTTATTGTTTAAGCAAAACACAGATATCCGGAACTGTACATGAATGGTCCAAGACGGCTGAAGTAGGCGAAAAAGTTTTTGGACAGACCGTAATCTCTAAAGTACTGACTCCTGGATCGTAGAAAGTACGG